ATTCACCTCATTCTTGAGTTTATAGGCTCTAGCTACATTCAATTTCTGAAAATGGCTTTGTAACACTATCCCATATCTCCTTTGCAATGTCCATCCACAGGTAGTGCTGGCTAACATGGGGTTGCATAGAATTCACCATCCAGCCTACAATTACAGGGTCTTCCCCCTTTGATGGCTTCTTACTCCTAGTAATATACCTCCATTTTCCTCTATTGCAAACATGGGTTTTTATTGATTGAGGCTAAGCTAGATAATTAGTCCCATCAAGTTTCATAATGACTACTGCACCCAATAGTGTCTCTACAGGCCCTCCTTGACCAAACTCAGAGTCCATAGGCTGCTTTGTCTCACCCCCGGATTGTTATATTGGCTGAACAGAAACAAACGGAAATAAAAAAAATGGTACTACTATTCAGGAAAAACTAACCTGAAGTTGAAACACCTCTTCTCTCACCTTATTCTAGGATTTCATAGAACTCTGCAACCAAGGAGAAAGAGAGAAGATGTTGCTCCTGCCAGGAAACCAGACAATCTTCCAACCTCAATCAATCTCATAAGGATTAGTAACCCTCCTTTCAAGCCCCAAGCGCTAGCTTGATGAGTCTCCAGACTCCTTAGTTTCTCCAATTGGCTAGGGTTTCCGGGAAATAAACTCCAAGAACCTGTCTTGGGCCTGAATTTGAATGTGCAAACCTCTCTAGAAAACTCCCCCAACTAGGTGACATAAATCTCCTTTTGATCAGCAACTTAAGAAGAAAAAGCAGGAAGTGGTAACCTGCTCTGATACCAAGTTGAAAACAAACCAGCAATAAATTTGCATTTATGCTAAGAGAAAAGGGAAAAAGAGAAGAAAGAAGAGAAAGTTCAGAAGGAAGAAGAAGAAGAAGAAGAGAGCTAATCGATCCTCTCATCAGTTCCCTAAACACTTATGTTAAAGTTGATTGTAATTCGGGTACAATTACAAGGGTGCCCACAATGGGGCAGCTAGCTCAATAAAGATAATGAAAAGGGAACAAAAAACTGTCCCATAACTAAGGCCCACTAACTAAACATAACACATTATTAACAACACAAATAAAATAAAAAGATAAGGCCCATTCTGCCCATAATCTCTACATAATATTATACTTGTAAATGTTAAATAATTTGTAGATAAAAAATAGAGAAGATTTTATCAATAATAAGAATCAGAAAGAGATACACAGTGAAAGCTTACCACAAAGAGGCACGAGGTGCAGCCTCAAATCAAGCCATCCACTCTTTGAATTGTTCTTGATGGGTGTTATTATGAGGTGTTTGAAACAGATTAATTATCATAAAACGGGGAGGGGAAGGGGGTTTCCAACAAATTGTAGCTCATCCATTTACAAATCCTTAATAGTTAGCACGTGGTCTCCACTGCTAAATTGTAATAAACTGAATTTTGATGGTTGCAGCTTGGGCAAGCCAAAATTGGCTGGAGTAGTGGTGTCTCAGAAAGAATGAAGGGGCCATTTTTTTTTCTTCTTTATGGATAACAGAACAAGTTTTATTAGAATGGAGGAGAGAATATTATAAGAAACCGGCTATCTCAGAGATTGAGATGACCAATACCCAAAAAAACAGAAAAAAGAGCACCACCTCTCCCCAAAGTTGCAATACAACATACTAGAGCCCCATCCTCCAGAACAGATTCTCTCCCAACCCCATGTTTTGCTAACCATCTACCAATTCATTTACAGATCTGTACACCTAGTGACTGCTGCTACTCTTTCCCTTTTGAGCTCTTTGATTTCTCTTAAGATGTATCTGAACTGCCAAGGACACTTCATATTTTTATCCAGTCCACAACCACTTTTGAGTCCTCTTCAACAATGATATTAGTGTACTTATTTATCTTTGCCAACTTTATTCCCTGTAGAACTGCAAGAAGGTCTGATCTAATTGCATTTCCGTGGCCTGCAGGACCAGAGTATAGGCCAAGAATACTGCCCTCTTCATTTCTAAAGACTCTCTCAATGTCAGAAGGTCTAGGATTGCCTTTGCTGCAACTGTCAAAGGTTGATAAATAGATGAGGCTAATCCCACAATGGGTGAACAATCACTGTAGTAGTGGAAGAGTTTGCTACTAACCCCCTATTTCTAATGATATCATCGGTAGTGAAAGGACTGAAAAGTTTTACTGATTTCACCCAGTGTGTCACTCTCACCATAATGAGATCAATGAGAACTCTCTTATCTTGAGTCTTTTCCTTGAAGAGTTTTCCAATTCTCTCCTCCCAAATAGTCCATAAAATGGCATCTCTGGAGTAAAACCATAGCAATTTTCCTCTTCTTGTGGGTGGGTTAAAGAAATTACTGCTGAAAATAGATTGCAAAACTTGTGGAGGAGTCCACCTGCACTCAAATAGAGCAAAAAATCCTTCCCAAATACCAGTCACAAAGGAGCAAAGATATTAGCAAATGGAAAGAACTTCCCCACTTGCATTGCAGAGAAGGTAGGAATGGGGGAATAAACACTAATTTGGCCTCCTCTTTTGAATGGTCTCACAAGTATTAGTTTTAGAGTTGTCATGCTCCCAGAAAAGATCTCTTATAATCTTCCCTAAATCCTTTGTCGCCAACACTAGTATCTTGAAGACGGAGAGATAATAGATTGGAAAGTTAACGAACATGGACCTAATCAAGGTAATTTTCCCTCTGAAGGATATATAACTTGCCTTCCCATTTCACTAGTTTTTTATTAAATTTTTCCACAACTGCATCCCAAAACACCATAGGCTTGGGATTTCCCCCAAAGGCAAACCTAAACACTTTATTGGTCATTCAACATTCCAGAAACATAAGATAGAGGCATATCTCTCTAGCTTTTCCCTTCCCATATTAACACCTGCTATGCAACTTTTTCCAAAATCGACTCTTAAGTTGGAGGTTTTCTTAAAGATCTGTAAATTTCTAGCTCCTACCTCCCCTAAGTCCTTACAGAAAAGCATGACGTCATCAAGAAATTGCAGGTGGTTTCCAATAACCTCACTCCTTCCTACCCTCCAACTCTTAATTAGACCTCTGCCATCTGCTCTGGTTATGAGGCAACTAAATCTTAAGCCCCTCTTAGCTTCAAAGAAGTCTTTAGCACACCATTTACCAAGACCGAGTAATTCACAGATTTCAAGCATCCTCTCATCTTGAATCTCCATTTGTCACCAAAAGCACACAATTCAAGAAGCTCTTCTAAGAATGACTAGTCCACATGATCATAAGCCTTTTCAATATCCAATTAGCACACCCACCCTTTCTTCTCCAATCTCTTCATATCCTCCAAACATTTGCTCGCTATCAATTCTTTGATCAATAATTTGTCTATCCTTATTTATCATAATAATAATAATAATAATAAATCTATCCTTTAAGAAAGCTCCTTGGTTTTGAATAGTGATGGAAGGTAGAACTTCTTTAAGTCCAAAGGACAGCACCTTGGCAATGATCTTATAAAGGCTTCCAATGAGACTAACTAGCTTGAAGTCCTTGGGATGGAGGGCTTCCATCTTCTTAGGGGCTAGTGTAATGAAAGTAGCATTAGCTCCTTTATTTATTTTTCCCCTTTCAAAGATTCATTGAACACTTCTAGCAACTCACCCTTCACTAAGTCCCAAAACTCTTGATAGAAAGTCAAATTGAAACCATTGGGCCCAGGTACCTTAGACCTATCCATAGAGAAAACAACGATCTCTCTTTCTCTCTGTTTGGACATGAAATAAGATTCCGTACTTGGTCGACATGTCTTTCAACATATTAGGAAAAAAATGTTTTTTTGGTGTTTTGGACCAACTTGGTCAACATTTTCGAGATATAGGAAATGTAGGCCAAAATATTGTATTTTTTATGCTCACCCCCAACTCTATGTTGGTAAGTCTCGACACCGGCATATGTATTGTGACATTACCAACATTTCACAGCATTTCAAACCATGTTTGTGATACTGATATTTTGTCATAGCCAATGCTGATTTTAGGAATAGATAATGTCCTAGTTGGAACCCTTTCAATCTTAAGGATGCTGCTTAGTTGTGAATTACAGAACACTTTGTTATCACACTTATCCTAGTATAGTTATTTTATACTCTCTTATACCATTCTGTTATAATTAGTATTTTTTTATGTTTTGTAGAAAATACAGCATATGCTTTTCGCAGCATATGCTTTTAAAAATCTATCTGAAAGTACTTTGAGTGCTATGACCCCTTAATGCCACATCTGAAAAGATCTTACTTTTGCCAAGCTTTGCCAGAATGAACATCAAGATTATGTTTGTTGCAGCTTGCAAGAACATCTATTTCTAATACCTCCCCCCTCTCCATGTTATGGCACAACTGGCTTACTCCTGGAGTTTTTGATTATCATTAGTGGCTTGAAAGTTTTGTAGTTGAGATCAGTTTCTGGTGTCCCATTTCCTAGTTGAAAAATATTTTCTGCTCATCACAAGTTTTGCTTTCTGGAGGATCTGTAATGCCTGATACGCTCCTAACTGTATTACTTAGTTGATTAGCACTATTATATGTTGACAAAAGGGAATTCCCCAGTTGAAAAAGTTCCTGCTTGTCATAAGCTTTAGGTTTTATAGGGTTTGCAACTCTAAATGTTTTTTTAAAGGCATTAACTAATGAAATTAGTGTTTGCTTTGGTTAAGACTCAGCACTGTATTATTTATGGCATTCAGGGATCCACATGGAATTTTGGTTCTTTTCATGGCATTTGAATTTCCCATACCATCCATCATCTAACATGGACCAATTGCAGGACTTCAATGTTATTTTTGGGACATTAAAAATGATCATTTTTCTATTATCATTGTTCGAGGACCTCACATTTAATGATGGCGATATGCATTCAAATGCTTTGTACAATCAAAATGAAATGGCGTCACATGGCTTCTGAATGGATGTAGCACTGAAAATATTCATGTGCTTTTGTTTTAATGTGGTTTACAGAGAAAAACTCTTAATGTTTTGAACTGTTGTGCAGACGTCTAGGCCAGAATACAATCAGATTCTGGTGAAGAAGCCCGGTGGCAATGATTTCTGGCCTTACTAGAGATATCCAGAAACTTCTCTGAGTAGATATAGAGAATTGTTTTTATCACTATTGAATCAGATTTTCGTGAAGAAGTCTGGTGGCAATGACTTTGGCCTTACCAGACATCCAGAAGCTTCTCAGAGAAAAATGGAGAACTTTCCTATCACTATTGAAAGCAGGGGATATTTTCTGTACATTTTGTTTGTAGGTTGTGTGCTTCGGGGTTGGCCACATAGGCCCCCTTTTAGAAAATTCATGTTTGTAATTCAACTGAAATCAGGTAAAAAGACCATAAAGGTGTGGTAGTTTTAAGACATGCTGCAACTCTATTCTATGGCCGGATAAAGTGATCCGTGTGTGTATATGTTCATCTGGTCGGGGTGGATTTAGGGCTAGCTAACCGATTAAGAGGTGACCCATTCATTGAAAGGTATGATCCTACCATTGACATTGATAGTGGGTAAAGATGGTCTTATAGAACTTTTTACAGGGACGTTTTGATAACAGATGAAATGGCCAAACTGATAAGCTTATTGTTGTCTTTTAGTGAAAGAGATTTGGTTGTGCCCCTTAATGGTTGAAACTGAATTTGGGTAAGTTACTATTCCCTTAAACATTTTATTATTATTATTATTATACCCTTAAACATTTATTTAAATTTATTAACGAGTTTGATGTAATTGCATGTTAATGACATTTTTTTTTTTTAATTCTAGACTTTATCCCCAACCGAGGGATGGCCACCAGAAATTTAATCATGAAACGAATGCCTATTATGGGGAAAACCCTAAGGAGAACCTATTGGAAGACGATTGGATTATAAAAAGCTCATACACCATGCCTAAATGGGAACGCATGCCCTATTTGGAAAACCCAAAATTTCTCTCTCGCAGGCAATTTCTTTTATCATCTTCCTCTCTCCCCACTAAGGGTGAGCAAGATTGGTTTAGTAACTTGGAACTTACACAGTAGGGCTCAGTTCCAAATTACTGGAACCGGAATATACCCTATCAAGATTGATTCCAAGGTTTTGGCCTTAGTGGTTAGGTCTACCTGTGGAACCAGTTCTTTTTTAAACCCTNCCCACACACACACAATAGTAAAAAAAAAAAACTAGATTTTGGCTCTGACCACCTCTGAATTTTACGAAAAGACCAATTTTGACCTTAAAGAATAAAAAAAGGCCATTTTTGAACCCAGATTTTGATAAAAAGGCCATTTGTAGAAAAAAATAGATGTTTTCGATGTCAACGGATCTATTAGATAATGTTATGTGGCACTGTTAAAGTTTGAAAAAAGCCACTTACGACCCTAGTTTGAAAATGGGTCACTTTAATAAAGCTAATTAAGTAACTTACTTAATGGTCTAAAATAACCTTGAACTATAAGTAAGTATTTAATTCACTTAATTATTTAACAAAGAAAATGAAGAGAAAGAAGTGAAAAAGAGAGAGGGAAGAGGAAATAAGAGAAAAATGACGACAAAAGTAGAAAATAGAGACAATGATAATAAATAAAAAAATTCAAATAAAAATGTATATCAAAAAAGACAAAATAAATCAAAGATAAAAAACTAAAGCAAAGAGAAAAAAGTTAAAATAACGGAGAGAAGTAGAAAAGGGAAAGAAACGAATTGTTATAGAACTAATTAGAAAATGTCTAATAATCAAAATCAAAATAAAAAAGAAGTGAGAAGGTAACAAAATAGAACTCGAAAATAGAGGAAATCAAAATAAAATCCACAGAGAGGGAAAATTTAAAATAAAAATCAGAATCAAAGGTGCAAAAATATAAAAATAAAAAAATCAAGAAGAAAAGAAAGAGAGAAGATAAAAAAATAAAAATAAAAAGAGAGAGAAAAGTGAGGAGAAAGCATAAGAATTAATGACATAAAACTTTGGTGAAATTTTGAGAGTATGCTGGTAAGTACCTTTATCATCCAAGGGTTGATGCTGAAGCCAAGTGACCAATGAACCTTGTGGCTGCATAGAAGGTTCTCAAACATTTTCCATCTGGAAGCTAAAGCCAAAGGTTTCAATGAACACTGTAGCTGCGTTGAAGGTTCTCACACCTTTATCATCTGGGGGCTGAAAGCTGAAGCCAAGGGACTAATGAACCCTGTGGATGCGATGGAGGTTGTTCTTCAACCCATTACTATTTGAGGGTTAGAAGATGAAACCAAGGAACCAATGAACAACCCTGTGGCCAAATTGAAGGGTCTCCAAACCATTACCATTCGAGGGCCGAAAGCTGAAACCATGGGACCAATGAACCCTGTGGCCCCATTGAAAGTTCTCTAACCCATTGCCAATCGAGGGCTATAAGCTGAAGCCAAGGGGCCAATGAACCCTATGGCTACATTGAAGGTTCTCCAACCCATTACTATTTGAGGGTTGTACGTTAAAACCTAGGGACCAATGAACCCTATGGTTGCGTTGAAGATTCTTTGACCCTTTGCATCAACTTAAGCTAATACATTGACTTCACCCATTTTTTCCTATTGACTTGTCAAGTACCTCATGGCTCTTTACCAAATGTTATGTAAATGGTTCTAAAAAAGTAAATAAATAAATGACTTCATCCATTTCTTTTGGGTTTCCCCCTTGTTCCTTTGAGTATATTTATGAGTCTAGGAGCAGGTCAAATGTGTGTTGATTGTTAAGTAACTCTCTTCATGTTCCATGTTTCTTAGATTCCATAAAATATTAAAAAAGAGGGGTAATAAGAAGAATATAATATTAACCTTTCTTTTTTAAAAATGGTTTAATCCAAATAAATTATTCAATGTAGTTGTTTCAATTTGAATCCAATTTCCCTCTTAGTGTGTGGTTCTTGTTTATCAGTTTTGGAATTATTTTTCTAATTATTATGAATTTAGGCCCACCTTATTTGCAATGAATTACATGTTTCATTTATCCAACCCAGTCAACCATGCAACCTTCCCTTTTTCAAAAAATGCTCCTAATTACCAGTTGCCCGATTTGGTCATCTCTTTCTTACCTTATTCTAGTTTATAAGTTTGGCCTTTAGCAGTAACCCGACCTACGACAATGACTTAACCCATCTAGTAGTCTCCTCTTACCCTTGCACCCTTAGGTTGTCCACTCTTAGTTTAGTGTGGCTAAAGCTTAATTAAGTCCATGCCCACCACACACTCATCCTCCCCGGGCAGCTTCAGTTTCTTGTAACCTGTGGACTCCATTATTAGATAGCTAACTTATAGTAGCCTACTTTCTTCATAGGTGATTAGTCCGTTCCTGGCTTCATGCATGTTTCTTTATCTACTCAAATTTTAACTCCACCTGGTAGTTAATTCGTCAGTGTGTGTTCTAAACAAGAGGCAAGTCAATTTTACTTCTGCTTTTTCAATATGCCTTGAATCAAACCTCCCACCTATATATTTTTGTTCTTGATATACAATATCAAGGTCAGTTTAGTTCATTTTATTAATTATACAATTACATTTTTTCATTTTTAGTTTAATTTATTAATGCTCTTCAATATCCAATTGCAATCTAAATTCTATTTGAATTTGATATAAATTTGATGGATAAATTCAATTCAAAATTGAATATAAATAAATCAAATTTGAGTCTACTTTATATCCAATTCATTTCAATCCATTTGCAACCCTAATCATATGGTTTTCCATAACAATTTTACTAATACATGAGGCTTGCCTTTTCTCTTTTTTCCTCAAGGCTCAGTTTGGAAGGAGTACAAATACAAATATGTAGAGTACAAAACCTTATATTTTGTATGTATTTGTACTGTATATATTTGTATTTGTACTCCTTCCAAACTGAGCCTAAAGAATTTATATCCCATGGGCAATGGAGACATTATTATTGATTTGTCTTGAAGGGATAAATATACTCTACAAAAGAGATATCTATTGGTCCAAGGGCTTCATCTTTTAAAGCAAAACTCACTCAATGATTTTATAAATTACATTGCACAAACTGATTTATCTCAAATGATTGGTTGCCTTTGAATTTCTTGTATGAGGCAATAAGGTTTTTATTAATTTTTATTTGTCATTCTCTTTGAAGTGGAAGAACATCCCAATGGCCTAGTTATAGATTCATCAATATCATTCCAATGCTTTTGGATGAAGCCTGCATTCAACCCATTAAGGTTAAATACTTGCAAATCTGGTATATGATTCTCGACAGCATTCGAGTTTCCTTTATATCCCATGAATTGATACTCACTCTCTATTTTATTTTAATTAATTTTTCTATTCCTTCTACACAAAGTCATTACATAAAAAAAAATGTTATTTTCCATCCCATATTTAAGGCAACCATTTCTTGATTTTTGGGCCCAATGGACTTCTTCCCTTATATGAAAAAATATATTATAGTCAATATACCAAGACACGTAGATATCATACAATAACATTATTAATAATGCATCATCCAAAAACTCAAGATAGATGGTACATGTATAAAACCATTAATATGTTATTATTTATTTATTCATTCAAATAATTAATTAATAAGTATAAAATCATATTGTCAATATATATATATATATATATAAGATCCATAAATGCAAGAGCCCAAAGCATAAATCATATAAAACTAGTATAATCAAATAAATTCTATATTTTATTATTTTGACTTCGATGTGCTACAAAAAACTAAATCAACTTAATCTTAAATTCTTTTGCTGACTAATGGCTATATAACTTCTTATAAACCATCATTGTAAATTAAGTTAAATTTGTAGATAATATTTTCTTATTTCATAAATAATAAATTGTTACTTACTATAAATAAAATTACTAATAAATAATTTACAAAATATATAATATTTATCTTTATTTAAAAATATACTAATCCATTTGAATTTGTAAGATACAATTTTTAAATACCAAAATGCTTATTTTATTTTTTATTATTTTTATTTCTATAAATTATCAAAAAATTAAAAAAAAAACATTCTTTTAATATAAATTATTAATTAATCAATAGATTTGATTGGATCATTTATAGTTCCATCATATGCTTCTTCACCACCATCAAAGCCATTTAAAATAATAATTTTTACTTTTAGATTTCCTCAATATTTTTGAGAGAATTAAATATGATAAACCGAAAACATAAATCCAAGTATCCAACAACAAATAAATATGTTCTTGCATTTCAGAAAACGAAATATGTATATCCATTGAACATTTAGGCTCGTTATAAATACAATTACAGAGTGCAAAACCTTGTATTTTGTATTATTTTATATGTATTCGCACTATACATACTCTCATTTCTACTCCGAGGCAGCTAGGTTCAGTTCAGAAGTATAAATACAAACACAGAGAGTGCAAAACTATGTATTTTGTATGCATTTGTACTATAGATATTTGTATTTGGACTCCTTCCAAACTGAGCCTAAAAGACTAAATGACAAAAAAAAAAGCTTTCTTGATTCTAATTTCTAGTGCAAGATCTCAAGTTGTTTATAAGAAGAATTCTCCAAGGTTCAAAATATCGGTACACCCAATACGCCAATAGTAGCGGGCAGTACCGATATCTTTATTTTAGTTTCTTTAAATCTGGTTCAGAGGTGCTGATTTAAAGTCCATTTACCCTCTGAACCGGTTGGGACCTTAAAACACTCTGTAGAAACATATCAGGAAACCCCATTACGATACATATCAACTGATACAGCCCAATACATGTCCATATTTTGAACCTTTGGAATTCTCCCACAAGTCTCTGAGACTTAGAAATGAAAAACGTGATAAAAAAGTGAAATCAACATAAATCATTCCACCAGCACAAGATCGGTATTAGTATATATCGACTGATACTGTTAGATACAGTGCGATACAAACAATACCGACCATTTTTTTATTTTTTTCAGCCAGGTTATTGGAACAAAGACTATTATAGATGCTTCTACGATCTGAATAGTACCTTACTGAAGGGTTAGATACAGGGCGTATTATATCAATATTTTGATCATACAATACACCCGATTAATATTCTAAACCTTGCACATCATCTACTACAATCAAATAAGCAAAGAAACCTTGCTAAGGGGGGTTTGACCAAAATTTTATTATACTATTGGTTGCCGTCACCCAACAAGACGGGGGTATTTTTGGAACAATGACAATTATAAGAAGATAATCCTCCCACTCTCCCCCCTCAAAAAATAATAATAATAATAATAATAATAATAAAGAAAATAAAAAATAAAATATCAAGCATATGTGCTTTGAAATGCCACCCTGAAATAAATTTTAAATATGATAAGTTGCAAGTTCTTTAATCTTTTCTCGTTACTTTTTCCCTTCCATTTTAGACATCAAACATTTATTATACAAGAATGTTAGCCACTAAACACAAGTACAGCAGGAAGGATGCTCAACCTGCTGTACCTTGACCTTCGCTCTGGTATGCAGCTTCTAAACATTCCTTAGCCCTGTGAACCTTTGACTGAAGATAAAAGCTCCCATTTTGAGCATTCTTCTCAAACAGATTGTCATATTTCTGCACAAGATAGAAAATTAGATGTTTAAGCCTGCTAATTCCAGATGATATATCAACTCTTTAATATAAGAATGAATTTAAATAAATACCACAAATCTAACAGACCTTCAGGATCTCCTCCCAGGTGGCCTCCTCAGTGACACCTAGAATCTGCCTTGCCTCTTGCTCAGCCATTGTTTTGCTTGCTCTACGAACGGTATTTTGTATTGTTTCTTGAGCAACACCAGATTTTGACGCATCTGCAAACATTCAATAAACAAATAACAGAATTAGATGATGCATGGGTTTTGGAAGTAAATTTAACCTATTAATGTTTTAAAGGAAATACTAGTTAGGGGTGAAGGTTGAGTACCCACCCACCCATATTGACCCGCTGACCCATTTACCACCCATATTTATGGGTGTCAATGGGTCACAACCCACCTTGACCCTGACCCACCCCCTCTAACCTAATGCAAGGATTAAGAAATTACAAATATTTTAGCCAAACAAAATACAAATACTAAGACAATTACAGAAAAAAAAATACACGAAGAAAAACAAAAATAATAAAACACCAAAATTGACATTATTTTGCAGGAAAAAAAAACAAAGGTTGTAGAAAAAAAACACAAATTGATAAAAATTACAGAAAAAACATGGAAAATAATAAAATTTATATTTCAACCAAGAAAATAAAAATTGCATAAAATACATAAATTGATAAAAATTCAAAATAATTATATTTTTCAACCAAAATTGTTTTTTTTGAGAAAAACCCAAAAATTGTAGAAAAAAAAAAGATGAAAAATATCAATTGTGCGGGCAAGCTTGTCCTCCATGTGCTACAGAACTCATTCTACTTCAACTCAGCTTCCATCAACGTAATGGCACTTGAATTTGTCATTGCCACTGTTATGGTGTTGCAGCCAACAAAGGCCCAAACCCCATCTTCCCATTCTCAAAGACCAAAACCTTGATTGATTTGTTGAAGATTTGGGAATTTAGATTTGAAGAAACGGTGGAAATAGGCTTTCGTATGGATGTGGAGGCAGAGAATCTGATCCGCCACCCATTCCCGTCTATTCAAAACTCAATTTGAATAACATGTAAAAATCTATCTTGACTATTCTGTCTAGATTGTCAATCCCTCTTGTAAATCAAATATATTTTTTTTTCAATTTCATATCAATCAATTTCCATCTAACTCAAAGCTTGGCTATGAACCCTAAAGCCTTGTACCAGAACCGTAAAGCCCATTTCAGAGAGAGAGAGAGAGAGGCAGAGAATGTTGTAGAGAGAACAGAGACAGAAAATGTTCTCCGCTGCAGTGTTACAGAAATGAAGCATACCTCAATCCTTGAATGGCGGAGCTCACCTTGACATTCTCTGAAATTTCAAATGGAGCTTCCCTCAGGCCTTGAAGGGAAAGGAAGGCAAGGGAAGACTCAGCAGAAGGTGGTAATCGAAATCAGACAAGAAATGACACAAGGCTATTTGAGAACACCTCTACAGAAAGGCAGTCCATCAAACCAAAACATCGATGCAGAGGATGATGGATAGGTGCGGATGAAAGGTAATAAGAAATTGGTCCCCGACCCTAGACAACTCTGGAAATCTCACCGATTACAGCAGTATATGATGGACATGAAGCTCAAGGTACAAAGGAATTAATAACCACAGCTTGTATATGATCAAGTGGGCTCCTTAATCCCACATGATCTCCAGTGACACTGATGCCGGTGTCACTGGAGACTTTCGCTTGTCCCTCTTACGAGTGCTCTTGGGTTTGGGACCCATTTGGGCAAGAGAGCAGTTCCCCAAAACTAGAGAGAAAGACAACTAAAAGGAAATCAAGGGGAGAGAGATACAAAGAATCATTTGGACTTGCAAAGATTCTTGACAATGCAATTGAGTTAATCAAGATAATTACCAGATATACTTCTTTTTACATGGACTTGATATAAATAGACTAAATAAACCAACAACCTCCTACTAATACTCAACTACTCAATTACATGTTCATCTGTTTAGGTTTTCGCAAAGCTGTGGATTTAATCTTGTTTTCAAGAGGTTGCCACGGCATTTTATTAATGAAGAAGATAAGCTTTGGGTTAAACTTTGAAGTTTAGATATCTTAAAGATCATTCTGTGTTTCCATATCTTGTTGATTCACAAGGATCTATTTGTTGGAAATCTGTGGCTAATCTCCAAATTAATTTTCATTCTAAGTTAGGATATTTGGTAAAAACTGGGGATTCTAACTCTATTTGGAAAGTGCCTTGGATCCAATATCAAGGTTCCACACAGCTAAAGGATCTTAAGGATGGAAATTTTAATTGGGATGTGGATAAAGTTGATGAAAAGGTCAGCATAGCAATCTTAAATGGATTTTTTTTTTTATCAATAACCACATAATTCATTAAAATAGGAAAAAAGTTACAGGGAAGGGGAGCTAAAGATACTTCACCAGAAAAGAAGTACAACTGATTTAAACACTCAGACCCTCACAATTGAGCCCAAAACCCAGAATCTCTAAAAACTCCTTGCCTAGCCAATCCATCAGCAAAGGAGTTAGCATTTTTTCTAACCCAAGTACATTGGACTTCCATATCCTTAATCAGCCACTTGAATTTTCTTTTCTCATTGTTGTAGCTCCACATCTTGGAAGTGTCTTCTTTCAGCCAATTCACAACAATCACAGAATCTCCTTCTATAAGCAGTTTCTTGACTTGAATTTCTTTGGCCCTTTGTACCCCTTCCAACACTGCTAAATGGATTTGGGTACAAAAGGTCAGGAAAATTCAGTTCAAAAGGCTTAAAACATCATCCAGTCATAAAATGTATCTTTTTTTGGTGCTACAAAGGCAGCAATTTGTTGGGTTATTTGGGAAGAAAGGAATAACAGAATATTTTTGGACAGGAGTAGAACAATGGAGGAGGTAATCGACACCATCAAAATTAAAGTAGCTCACTGGGAAAGATCTATGCATATCTTTCAAGATTTCTCAGTCATAGACATTACAAGATCTTAGACAGAAGAAGCACAATCTTCAAGAGTGAAAGAGAAAGTAAGGATGGAAATGAAAACCTCCAGATGGTAATAGGTTTAAATTGAATTTTGATGGAAGCTCCTTTGGAAATCCGGGACTGTTAGGTATTGAGGGAGTAATCAGAAATTCTGAAAGGAGAATATTAGCTTTGCTCTTTGGACCGATTGGCATGGGCAACTCTCTAAAAGCTGAGTTAATGGCATTGCTACAAGGACTGAAGATTGCTATGCAACTAGGAATGAGGCATATTGAGGTTGAAGGGGATTCCAAGGTGATCATTTCTTGGGCTAAAAACAATACAAGTATTCCGTGGACCTTCAAACAAGTGATAAGGGAAGTGGAAAAGGTTGCAAGGGAGGTAGAGGCTGAATTCAAATGGGTTAGGAGTGCAAATGGGTTAGCTGATTATCTTGCTAAACAAAGGGCTTTAAGGCAACAATTGTTTTGGGCTGCAATGTAAAGTGGGACTGAAATCTGTAATAGTATGGGGAGCTTTAATCCCATACACAGCTGTAAAACCTTATTGTAACCCTAATTTCAAATAAAATTCTCTTTTGCTGATAAAAAAAAATGTATCTTTTTTTGGTGGAAAGTCTAAAAATGTACCAGTTGATCCTAATAGGAGGAGAATTTGAAACTGGGAATGGGAAATGAAGATTGCCCCAAGGTATAAGCTGTCTTTTTCGAGACTGTTGAATAATTTTGTCATGGTTAAAGAAAGAATTTGGGCTACCATGGGGATTTAGTTGCCTTGTAATAGCTCTAATCCTTGGCCTGCTCATTTCATTATGTTTGTGATTCAAATTAATAAGAGGTTAGTCTTGGATTTTCTTTGATGGATTGCTGTGTGTTCCTACTTCATTTGTTTTTTTTTTTTTTTTGATCAGCAAATAAGACTTTTATTAATAACAGAGAAATATTGAATTACAATAGTTAGGTTGCAGCACTGCGTTAACCCAATCTACAAACACATACAAACAGTTACAGTTCTGCCCTTGGATAAGGTGCGTTCTTTGTAAAGCTAATGGGGAAACGGATTACCACCTTATGGTTACTTGTCCGGTTACTAAAACTATTTGGGAGTGGGCTTCATCCTTGTTTGGATGCACTTGGAATCCCCCCGTGAGTTTGCAAAACTTGTTCTCTCCTTCGTTCTCAAGATGGCCTAAGAAAAAAGGGGAGATCATGTGGAGAAGCATTAGAGTGGCTATGTGCTGGTCCGTATGGGAAGAGAGGAACTCTAGACTTTTTTCAGACAAGGAAAGATCTATGGAGAATTTAACTGAATTGATACACTTAAGGGTTAGTCACTGACTGAAATCTTTGGAGCTTTTTTCAGATTTCTCCATGGCTGATCTTTTGAGAAAGTGGAAAGAAATTGCTACCTCGGCTCAGTGCAAAAGGACCTCTAGACCTTCTTGGTCCCCCCCTCCTTTAGGATTCATGAAACTGAATTTTAATAGTTGTAGTTTAAGGAATTCTGGGCCTTCTGGGATTGGGGGAGTTTTCAGAAATGAGGCTGGGATTATTAATCCTATGTTCTCTGGCCCTATTGGAGAGGGTGACTCTCTTAGGGCAGAGATTTTATTAGCTCTAGAAGGAATCAAAAGAGCAAGAGAATTAAACATTCGGTGCTTGGTCATTGAAGGGGACTCGGAGGTGGTAATTAGGTGGTTGAAGGAAGACAACAATGGTTTGTGGAGCTACAAAAATGAAAAGAAAAAATTTAAATGGCTGAGTAGGGATATTGAGGTGAAGTACAGTTGGGTGAAGAGAAGTGCTAATTCCATGGCTGATGGGTTAGCCAAACAAGGGGTGCTTAAGAATTCTTTGTTTTGGGCCATTTTTTAGCTTTCTTTCTTGTTCTCTGTTGTGGGGGAGTTAAGATATTTTACCTCCCCTGTTTTTCTAGGGCATCCGCCAACCCATTTGTAGTCCTTTTGACCCAACCAAACTGAGAGTTGAACCTCCTTGCAAGTATGTCAATTTCTCTGTAGATAAATTTGAGCTTCCAGGGTGCTGAAGTGATGTGTTTAGCCCAAGAAATGACCAGTAGTGAGTCTCCTTTTTTTTGGTTTGATGTGAGTCTCCTTATATTTCTAAATCTGTTGTTCCAATATGCTCAGCCAGCTTTAAACCTTAAAGTAGAGCCAGAGATTCAGCCTGTATTGAGTCACCAATACCTATTGGTCCTGAGAAGAATGCCACTTCTCCTAGATGATTTCTAATCACACCCCCTATACTTACCTTTCCCGGGTTACCAAAGGAACTCCCATCAAAGTTTAGTTTTAGTTTGTTCAATGCAGGTGGCTTCCATTCTGCTCTCACAACTTCTTTGGGTACATCTGTTTGTGCTACTTCAGTCCAGTTTCTTAGAATGTCATTCGTGGAGAAATTTTTGAATACTTCCATGGTCATCACCCAAAGTGCAGTTCTGATTTTTATGGATTCAATGACTTCCTCCTTTGATTTACTTTTTTCAGAGAAGAGTCTTGGGTTTCTTTCCTCCTATATAGTCCATACCACAGCAGCTCTTGCTGCCTTCCATAAGCACTTACCTCTTTTCTTCTGTTGCCTTAGGAAGGAGGGGCTGAATAGACTTACCACATCCTGTGCTACTTCATTTGGTTTGCTCAAAATATAAAAAAAAAAAGGTTTTTGATAATAAGTCACTATCTGTTGGGTGGTTGATTGATCGATTCTGCTGGACCATACATATGTGGGATGGCAAATTTCGATTTCAGCCCTCATATCCAATCCAGAGTGTTTCTCATGTTCAGTTTTCTCATAATACGATGCAAAATATTTTCTTGGATGGGGGTACAGTTAACTCAGATCATGGTGCCATAGTTGTCAAGGTGATCCCTAGGCAACAAGGTGCCCATGGCTGGTCACCTCGCTTAATTACCTACCTAATTTGTACATGCCATCATGAAACACCTTTAAATTATTTGTTTTTTGATTAATAATTAAATAGATATTATTTAACTAAAATATTCATTTTGTGGGTTTTATATACCAGTTCTTTTTATTATTTTATTATTTGTTAGGGTCCAATCAACACATTCTTTGCCATCATCATCTTCTTCTTCTTTTCCTTTTCCTAGATAAAAAAAGGGGCCTAGCTACATTTTCCGAATTTTCTTGGTGATTTTCTATTTTTAATATGAAGTCTATAGTTTTTTAAGAAGTTTATAGATAATTAACAATGAAAGATAGTTGCTAGTTGATATAGAACCAAGGGAATTACCATATGATTCATGGTTTCTATGTAAAAAAACCCATCACCTAGGCGCCTTCCTATCACCTAGCTTCACCTAGTGTTTTAAAAGTGCAAGGGGCAATTTGCACTCAAAGATGCAAGGCACAAGGTGAGGTGTGTTCCTTTTCGAAGCAAGGCACAAAAATACAACAATGCCAAAAATTCAAAATACACAGAAAATTAAAAATAAAAATATTAAACACAATATTAATAAAAATATAAACTTAAAATTTAAAATAAATGTTTTAAAAAACCTATTATCTAAAATTAAAATACATAAACATAACATGTAAAGCATATTCAAATGAAAATTTAAAAATAAAATCAAACATATAAAACATATTCATGTTTCAAATTGTATGAAACTTGCCACCATCTGGCATCTCCCAAGAAACCCATAACCATAGCAGTCTGTCATGTTTCCTCTCCAAGCCCAACATCAATACCCAATTGGCCCAATACCCCCATCATAAAAGAATTGACACCTATAGAATTGTTTGATCATAAAGAAAGGGGTCTCTATTTCAACTATGACGAAAAGTTCACCTCTAGCCACCATTGTAAAATGTTATTCTTGATAAAAGGGTGTTTGGCCGAGGAGGAAGAAGACATGGACATGGTTACTAATGAAGGATGAAGCTCAATTCAAGTTGCAGTTTCCAAGTTTCAATCCTTGCAAACAAGGGCAAATCTTGTGGTGAAGGCAATTGCTACATGCATTGATAACTTGCATCCACAACACCACCATGATCCCAGTAAGTTTGGCAAGCAGCCAACATAATCGAGTCTGTTTTATAGTGGACAATAATGAAAACAAGTCTCTTGGGCTGCCAATGGCCCATTATCGAAGCAAACTTTGCTCTCAAAATTAGTTGATGTAAAATAGGTTGATTCCAGCCTTGAGATTCATGTTTGCACCCATCACAACCAAACAAGACACTATAGATTTCTCAGTGCAAAACCGAACTGGATTTGTAGGTGTGATCTTTTTCAACCCAACCCAGAAATCACAGGCCTGGAACTAGGTATTGTGTTCAGGCCCAGCCCAGGCCTGGGCCCAACTTTAAACCCGGTCCAGCCTACATACACACACACACACACACATACATACATACGTACATATATATATGCTATTTTATGCTATACTTTATATTTTACATATAGATATTAAAATATTAGCTCCAATAGGTGATAAAATGAGAGAAAGTAGACTAAGATTGTTTGGTCATGTGCATACCAGACCTTTGACAGAGCTCATAAGAAGTGATCTATTACAAGTTGAAACGGCTAAAGGGGTTGGGGTGGACCAGTAGACGAAAAAGGGCATGGATTGTAGTAAGAAATGATAATAAGCGCTAATAATTTAACAATGGAAATGACATTAAACAGAACAGAATGGTGAAACACGATTCACGTAGCCAACCCACATGGTTGGGATAAGGCTTGGATGATGATGATATAAATATTATAATTTGACACCTATAATACATATTATGCACAATATTTTATATCTATATTATGTATAAAATAAATTTTATAATATTCTATATAAAATAGTATAACACATTATATATTTAATATTCTATTAATGAAAGACATGCTGCAGCCATGCAACCAACCCCACATGTAGAAACTGAGGTTATGAGCCATGAACTGTAACAACTCCATCTGCTTCAACTTTGATTTTTCTTGGTATTCCTTCATATTTTGCTCCCACCACCCTGACAACTACTGAGTGCAGATCTCCTAAGAATGTTCCCACAAGGACCCCTCTGCACAGAGAAGCAATCATCTTCATGTTCGACCAAATATGGAATAGCAGATCCAAGACTCTAATAACCATTTCTTCGACTGCAGAAATGGGTTTAGCATTGACAAGTGGGGGCCGCTTAGATATTAGCACTAGCAGTTGATCATCTTCAGATTCCATGGTTGTCACTTATTTCTAACAAGTATCATTAAAATTTTTAAAAGGCATTCAAGGTATACTCCTGGAAGATCACACCTACAGGAGATGTGTATTTAGCCCCCCCCCCCCCGAAAAGCACTAATATAGCTCCATTTCCATCCCTAAGACCCCCCTAATGGTGAAGGACCTGGGTTGCCACGTGAGCTTCCATCAAAGTTCAATTTTATCCTGTTGCTACCGGAAAGAGTCCACTACTCTTGATAAGTAGGCTTCAATGAAGATGATTCAGCTACCACTCTCCACCCTCTAGCCATGCCATCCACTGAAAAATGTTTGAAAATCTCCATGGTCTTCACCCAATGAATTACCATCAACATGATGCTTGCAATGATGATTTCCAAAGATCTACATTGCTCATTAAACAATCCATTATTTCTTTTCCCCCATATTGTCCATAAAATAGCAGCTCTAATGGTTCGTCATATGAAAGAGAGGAAAGAAAATACAACAAAGTATATAAAAAAACAGAATTTTGCAGAAAATACAACAAAGAAAAAGAGGAAAATAAAGAGAAAAACAGAAAATACTAAATTTTGTAAAAAACAACAACAACAACAACAATAGATACCTTGTCTCTGACTATCTTCATGGTAAAGTTTCTGTTTTTAACAGAGTAAAACTGTAAAAGTCAATCCAACTTGGCTACAAGCCATATTTTGTTTCTCGGAGTAGAGGCAGATCCCCATTCAATACTGTCCTTAACATTAGTAATATGTATCTGGACTCAGTTTCGTAATTTATTACTAGATTATATCCATGATAAGTAACAAACAAAATTCATTATATTTTATTTGCAAATTGGACTCTCTTCATAAATAAATAAATGTTATCGAAGTGTACAAGAATAGAATTCTGAGTTGAAATGAGGATCAAATCAATTACAATACCCAAGTACAAACTATAAAATTATAAATTGAAACTGAATTGCAGGAGGCAGGTCCTCCTCCTACCATCGAGGGTTCAGGTAGCATAGATGAACAAAAATGCCTGTAGTATTTGGATTCATAACTTGTTACAACTAACAAAAGCATGGCTCCAAGAGGCCTGGAAATGTATTCATCAATACAAGCATCATTACCAAACATAGTTGTCAAGGTGAAACCTATACAATGCACTATATAATATATTTATATTTTATATTTTCTTATGTTATAATAAATAAGATCGACATTTTCACACTAAATTATTCATTTTGTGGGTTTATATACTACCTTCCTTTTATTATTTTCTTATTTGTTAGGGCTCATCCCCTGTATATTCTTAAATTTATTTTCTTTTTCTTCTCATGATTTGTTAATTTTCTATATTTTGATATTAAGTTTACATTTAATTGATGAAAACTATTGATGATTACTAGTGAAAGGTGACTGCTGGTTGCTATGAAACCTAGGAAGGTACCCAAGGATTTTGGGTTTTATTTAAAAAAAAAAAAAAACACTGCCTAGGTGCCATGCCTAGCCTTGCCTCAGCACCTTAAAAATTATTGTATGAAGTACCAAGTCCAATAAACTCCCTAATGTTGAGATAAAATAGAGAAATTCTCTCGACAAAGATAAAAGACTAAATTTAGAAAACCTAATCTCTAATAGGAAAGATGATCATTGAAAGGGTTGCACATGAAACTACAAAGTTAAAGTAGAAAAATGGAAGGGTTGAGGAACTCACTTGCAAGAGCTTGACGGTATGCTTGAACAAATGCCCTTGCCAAAATCCCAGAGCCCATTACAATCAAATTGGCAAGAATCTTTGCAGCCTGTATAAAAGGTAGACAAATAAGCTAGATAGCTTGCCAATATTCAGGAAATTATCTGAAAAGTTATATCATCCCAACTTCTTAAATGGCAATGGAATGAGCAATAATATTAAGTGCCTGACCTTACCAAACCAATTTTACCTGGACACAGAATGACAAAAGGAACACAACAACATTGCCAATGTGAAAGGTTCCTCTACAAATCACTATGATAATGATTACCTATAAACCAATATACTGTATGGAGAAAGTGTGCAATAGGAAATTAAATGGTTGACCTAAATTCTTCTCTATGCAATCAAAACCTTGTATAAGCAATAGATTATTGACAGTTGCTCAGGATTTTATCCCATTATGCAAGTTGGTTCTTTTGAATATCATTTATTTAGTACTGTAACAATCCACTACTCATTTTGAATGATCACATGTCTGAAGGTGGAACCACAAGGTTGCTTAAATTCTACAAAATGGTATTATTAAAGGATCCTTGGAAAATCACTACTAAACCTCTTTTTTTTTAAGAATAAAGCATGTGAAATATACCCATCCAGGTAATATCTTTGAGTACTCAATCTTCAGAAGATATGAAGTCTAAGGATTTAGGGTGCCCATAGAGGTTTCCAAATGAGGAACTGATAAAAAGTATGCTTCAAGAATACAAGAAAAAATGGAACAAGCAGATTATAACGAAATAAAAGAAAACACCAATTAGATTTGATAAAAGGCTATGTTTGGTTTGATAGAATAAGAGAAAAAACAAAAGTTGAGGAGGTAACCGAATCAAAATCTGACATATTCCGGCACCGTTGGGACCGACGATTAGGGTTAGAGGTTTGAAGAAGGTGATCAAAATCTAATATATTCCGGCACCGTTGGGACCGACGATTAAGGTTAGAGGTTTGAAGAAGGTGATGACATGCTTGTTCTCCGGGTCGAAACTCCGGATACCTTTGATTAACATCTTATCTATGGTGCTCATCTTTGCAGCTTTGGGAGCAGATTGTTTCAGTTCAGAGCGGGCCGATGAACATAACCGGAGAGTAACGCCGGCAAAGGAAGAAAAATCAAGAAGAGAGAGAGAAGATTGCAGAGCATACCATGAGGGTTCCGGCTAAACTCCGATCCTCCGAGTCCGTGTTTCGGTCGTTTGAAAGCGTGAGGTCCGTTTGATCGGAGAGAGAGTGGCGCATTACGCCAATATATATATATATATATATAACACGTGGCAAGTTATTGTTAAAACCCGCAATCCACTAGGAACACTGCCACCATTAACAATTTGCCGTTATTTTTTGGAAACTAGACACGTCGCAATTTTTGAGAAATTTGTGCCAAAGCCCGTAGCCTACTACCATACTACAACCCCCCACCATTCAAATTAGGGGTGAGTTAGAGAAAAAAAACCTAAAAAATCGAATAGGTCGAAACCGAACTGAAAAATCAGTTAATTGAATCAGTCAGTTTGGTGTTTTAAAAAACCAAAGGTACTCGTTGGGTTTCGGTTAACCAATATAGAAAACTGGTAATTAATCGAACTGAACGATATACATATAGTTCTATTATATATAATATTTTTTATATATTATAAATTAATAAATATGCATTGTATAAATATATATTTATAATATATGATATTATTTATTATTTAAAATATAATATTATATATGTATATATATTTTTATAATATATTGTAAAAATTAAAAAACTAAAAAACTAATAAATCGAACCGGTTAACCGATTGGCTTCAGTTCGATTTTGGTTATCGGTTTTCCAAAAACTGGTAGTACCGGTTCGATTAAAAAAAAAGACCTATTGTTCAGTTAATTGAATAGTGAGCACCCCTAATTCAAACATGTGGCCTTTAGGGGTGATCATTCAGTTAAAAACTGAACCGAATAAACTGAAATAAAAAAACAAAAACCGAATTACAATAAAACCAAAAATTACAATTAATATATATAACATTATAAATTATAACCTATAATATATATATAATAATATATATTATGAAAATGAATTTCATTATAATACATTATATATAATATATTAATATATAAATATATATCATATTATATATTAAATGTTATATATTGTATATGATGGAGGTAGATTTGGCCCGACCCCTTGGCTGTGCGACACGTGGAAGAAACCGGGGTGACCTGGCAGGAACGCCAGCTCGGCACGGTGACATAGCACGGCCATATCCCAAGAAGAGGCCCGAACTTCCCGAGCTCTCCAAGAAGAGGCCCGAGCTCCCCAAAAGGAACCCACACTTCCTGGGAGGTGAAACCCGAGCTCTCCCTAAGAATCCCGAAGCTAGCAAGCCCACGAGGGGCGAAGCTCGGACTAGCCCACCTCGGGTCAGTCCGGATCATATCCCGGCACCTCGGGACAGTAGGCCATACTCATCCGAACTCAAGACTTCACCTCATGCACCACTCCGGCACCTCGGCTCCAAGTCGCGCAACTGTGAAACCGTACCTGACAGGTCCGTACTCTAGGGCAGCACGCCTGACTGGTCTAGATCTGACAGATGACAATCACACTATAACGGCCACCTGCTACCGCCATCTCAGTTGTTGCAGAGACGGCCCAGACAGAGAGGACAGTGGCGGTTATGTCTATCCCCCCACAGAGGCGGTTATACCTAACCTGACAGAAGCTTGGGAGTGAGTGCACCAAGTGGTTATAAGAAACCTTCTTCCCCCAAAGAAAGAGGTATGTGATATTTGTGCTTTCCAGTCTTAAAGTCTCTTATTTTCCCTTGCCTTCTCAAGAGTATTAACTTGAGCTTCGGAGTATTCCCACCGGGTTCCTCCCCAGAAATCTCTTATTTCTTCCTTATTTCAGGCATCTTCAGCTCCGTCAGAGGCAAGGTTACCGGCAGCTAAGACCGACTGGATCATGTATATTATATATTACATATTATACAATGAATTTTAGTTAATTTGGTTTTTTCAGTTAACCGGATTTATAAATCTAAAAACCGAAACCAAAAACCAAAATTCCTAAAAACTGAAATAACCGAACCAAATTACCCAATAATTGAAAAAATCGATCCGAATAAATCGAAACCAAAATTTTTGATTCGGTATTTCAGTTTTAATTGAATAATGCTCACCCTTACTGGCCTTCTCATTTTTCTGGAAAGATAGACACGTGGCATTTTTTGATAAATTGCTATTAAAATCCACCCACTACCACCATTCAGACATGTGGCATCCTATTAATTCAAGAAATAGGATTCAAAAAGTGGGTAGTTTCACTTCTAAATATTCTCAATAGTCAATAGGCAGTTATTTATTAGCTTAACACATGTTTATCCATAGTCTATTAAATACAAATGGTGAGACCCATTAAAAGATTATCATAAATCCATGTTTGTTTTTAATTTTTTTTTCAAAAAGAAAATACTTTATTAATTACAAACTTGATCGAACTTTTGGGAAGCAACCTAAAGTAACTTTTAAAAATAAATAACTCAAAATAGATTTATTAAATAAATAGTAAATACCAAATAAAGTGGATTATTGTTTACCAATAAGGTCTCATTTAATATATTTAATCAAATTAAAAAAAACATAAATTAATAGTGGGTTTCAAATAAAATAGGTCAGCTTGGGTTGTCAATTACAAAGATGCAAAACCTATATTAGTTTTTTAATTTAATTTTTGATAACTAAATAGTAAATTTCAAACTAAATTATACATACATTTAGTTACCACTACTTAGTATAGGGTCATTCTCTAGTATATATTAAAACAAGAAAGTCTAGAAATTTTCTCATTTTTTTAATTTTTTATTTTTAGTCCATATCATTAATAAAACTACCAATTAGAACTCTACTCTCCATCTCTCATCACTCTCTTCTCCCTATTACATAACGACACCTCAGCTCTCTCATTTAGATATCTTAGCATAGTAGGAGTCTTCAGACACTTCACAGAGTAGGAGTCTTCCCACGATGAATCTCCTCTCCTGAACCTCTCTCTCTCTCTCTCTCATCGACAATAGGAGTCTTGACAGAAGTCTTTTGGACGAAGAAGTCTTTGTAGTCGGCGGGTTTCTAGCCGTTGCCATCTTCTTTCTACCAAAGACTTCGTTGGAGTTCTCAGCTGCCATCTTCTTTCCACATGTATATGCTCTGTCATTTTTTATCTGTTCTTTTTTTTTTTCATTTTTTGCTCTTTTTTTTTTCCATTTTTTAGACTCTTCACAGGGTATGATTATTCCCACGATGAGTCTCTCATGAATTTCTCTCTCTCATCGACAATAGGAGTCTTGATGGAAGTCTTTTGGACGAAGAAATCACAAACTTCAATATTTTTTCGAAGTAGGGGATGTGATGAATCAGGGGAGGGCACTGCTTTAGTCGTGATTGCAGTCGGCGGGTTTCTAGCCGTTGCCATCTTCTTTCTACCGAAGACTTCTTTGGAGTTCTCCACTGCCATCTTCTTTCCACAGGTATGCTTTGTCATTTTTCTTTGCTCTTTTTTTTTTTTCCGTTTTTTGCTCTTTTTTTTTTTGTTTAGTTTTTACTCTGTTAAATGTATTTTTAACAGTCGAATAGTTTATAGTTGTTGATTGACTATGTGGTTTTCGTTCCAACCTGTTAAATGCTTTCACGATAGAAGATTGTTTAAGTTGAGCAAACACAATAGACATTATTCGGGTGAATATAACGATGGTTAACCGTCGGGTATGGGTCATGTGCGACCTGGTCCATTTAGTTAACCGTATTTAAATACTGGTGTGGGTCATGAAGCGGATGCGGGACACGTCTACCCGGTTCATTTAATTAACAGTATTTATAAATACCTCTTATTTAATAACATTTTTTTATTAAATACGGTATTATTTAATAACAGTATTTATTATTATGGTGTTTTTATTAATTTCGATATTTATTTTATTTAATTACGGTATTAAATTATTGCTATTTAAATAAATACCAGAATTAATAATAAATTTTTGTTAATGAATTTTGGTGTTTATTTTACTGTTAATTAACATTATTTTAAATATGGTATTTAGTTAATTTAATTATGGTATTAATGTTATTTAATTTTGGTATTTTTTATTAACTAACTATATTTATCATTAATTCCAGTATTTAGTTAATTATTTTAACTAACGGTATTTATTTAATTTTTTAACAATATTCATTAACATTATTTTAAATATGGTATTTAGTTAATTTAATTATGGTATTACTGTTATTTAATTTTGGTATTTTTTATTAACTAACTATATTTATTATTAATTCCAGTATTTAGTTAATTATTTTAACTAACGGTATTTATTTAATTTTTTAACAATATTCATTAACATTATTTTAAATATGGTATTTATTTAATTTAATTATGGTATTAAATTACTGTTATTCAATTGTAGTATATTTTTATTAACTACAGTATTTATTTAATTATGGTATTTTTTAATTAATAAATAGCAATATTTTTAACAATATTTAACAGTAATTAAGGTATTTATTATTCATTCCAGTATTTAATTAGTTTTTAATAACAGTATTTATTAAAATAAAGTATATCTTTTAACTAACAGTATTGATTTAATTTTGGTATTAAATTACTGTTATTTAATGACAATATTTTTCATTAATTACAGTATTTATTTCAACTGCCGGTATTTATTTAATTCATTAATAGTATTCATTAACATTATTTTAAATACAGTATATATTTATTTTAATTATGGTATTTATTTAAATAGTAGTAAAATTCAACAGTATTTATTTAACTACGGTATTTGTTAATTACAATATTTATTTAATTATGGTATCTTTTTAATTAAATAAATAGTAGTATTTTTTAACAGTATTTAACAGTCATTAAGGTATTTTTTATTAATTCCAGTATTTAATTAATTTTTTAATAATAGTATTTATTAAAATAAAGTAATTCTTTTAACTAACAGTATCTATTTAACTACGCTATTAAATTACTATTATTTAATTACAATACTTTTCATTAATTATAGTATTTATTTCAACTAACAGTGTTTATTTAATTCATTAAAAGTATTCATTAACATTATTTTAAATACGGTATATATTTAATTTAATTATGGTATTTATTTAAATATCAGTAAAATTTAGCATTATTTATTTAATTATGGTATTTTCTATTAATTAAAAATATTTATTATTCAATATTTTAAAAACTTAATCTTTATT